ATCAATCAACCAATCAATCAACCAATCAACTAAATCAATCAATCAATCATCCAACCTATCAATCAACCAATCAACCAATCACTCAACCGATCAATCAATCAATCAATCAACCAATCAACTAAATCAATCAATCAATCATCCAACCTATCAATCAACCAATCAATCAACCAATCAACTAAATCAATCAATCAATCATCCAACCTATCAATCAACCAATCAACCAATCACTCAACCGATCAATCAATCAATCAACCAATCAACTAAATCAATCAATCAATCAATCAATCAATCAATAAATCATTTAATAAACCGATCAACCAATCAATCAATCAATTCACCGGTCAATCAACCCATAACCCATGAATAAAGAAATACATAAGATAAATGGATAAACAAGCAGACGAATCTATAAAAGAAATCTATATAAAAGTGCTTAAAACATGAATAACGAGAAAATCGAAAACCGTCATAGCCGAAAATATAAAAATATAGTGTTCGGCTCTTCATGCATAAATGGAACTTATGAATAAAATTACTTTCCAGTTATTTCCCATGTTCCCCCGCCACCGCGTTCTTAGTTTCTATTCCCAATGTTTATTTTTTGTTTGTGGTATCACGTGACGTGATTAACATGCATGTGAAATACGCCTCGTTAAACTGTGAGCAAGTATATTATTATTTCGTATTGATTATATTTTGAAGACAAGAAAGTAGAAAATTATAAGGTAATTCTATTTAATTGAGTTGTATCTTTGGAATCGGTTTTAGTAAATTAAAAAGTGCGGGCGAGCATCTCGTTTGTCGGTTACCAGCGTCACGTAACCCTGTCTAAAAGAACGCAAATACCATGACAACGCGTGATCAGGTTCAGAAACTGCGCCCTGCTATCAGCCGCCCGTTTTAAATATATTCCGGTTTATTTCCATATTCCCTTGTCGGTTATATTTGATTTTCGGCTTTCGCAGAAACATACGAAGGAAGGAAGAAATGTAACTTAAAGAGCAGGAGTAGGAACAATGAAGAGATACTGAATGAAGCGAAGACCGAAAGTAAAAAAAAAATGAAATGAAATAGACAAAGCAGGAAAATAAGGCTTGAGGGGGAACAGAAATATATATCAAAAAAGTATTAAGTAAAGAAATGATTGAAGAGAGAGAGAAGGGGAGAGTGGGAAAAGAGAACACAAATGAAGAAAGGCGAAGACAAAGTCGGGAAACAATTTCGGCGGATGAGAAGAGACAAAGAAAAGCGGAAAAGAGAAGCAAAAGAAGGGAATAAGAAATGAAAAAGAATGGAAGAGTCGAGAAGTAAGGAGAGAAGAAGAGAAGAAAAGAAAAGGGAAAAAAAACAAGGAAGAGGAGGGATAACGAAAAGAAAAAAAGCGAAGATACCAAAAGAGAAGCGAAGAAAAAGAAGGGAGGGAAGAGAAAAAATAAAAAAAGAGAAAAAAAACTGAAAAGACGAGAAATAAGAGAAACCAAAGAAGAGTAAAAGAGAAGAAAAGACAAGAGAAGAGAAGATGAGGATATAAACAGAGACAAGAAAGGCGATAAAAAAATATGCGAAAATGGTGTTAAGTCTTGAAGCCGACTAATTTTCCGTGATTTTAAAAAAATTTAAATAAAAAGTGGTTATGCAACTATTGCATAACTGGAAAAACGCTAAGTCATGAGATAGGTAAAAGTTTAATCCTAATGAGAAAAAAAAAGGAAATCGTCTTTTTCTAAATGAATACCTTCAAGAAAATTTAGCGAATTTTTTCGGGATTCGTCAGAAACTACCAATTTTCAAGGTCTCACTTTTTAAAGTTTATATTTTTCTAATTTTGTTACATATAGCCGGTTTGCAATAAAAGCGTGGCCATACTTCATTTTTACAATTATATAACGTACTTTTCTTCWTTTTTCTTTTCTTCTCCGTAAAAATATCGGTTTTAACATATAATATATATATATTCAAATCGGTTCGTACAACTTCACTTTTATTTCCAAAAAAGCTCTTCGTTCATTTTTTTGCTTTAAGAAAATCCACAGCAAGTCCCTCCAACAATTGCTAATCCAGAGTACAGTCAGAGTAAAATCAAATTTAGATCTAGTCGTACATATACATCTAAACCCTACTAGATCTTCGATTTACAAAGTTAAAAAGCTCACCACTTCGCTGTTCTCTTGCTAGACCCGCTAAGCCATCCAGTTCGCGTTCAAATGTTCCAGGGACGTCGACACTTAAAAAAAAAAAAGTTAAAGATGAACAGCAAGAACCTTTTTCTTGTTCTTCTTGTTCTTCTTGTTCCCCCCTTTTTTCCTAGCTAAATTTTTAATCAGAACCGCCAAAACTTGATTTTCCCCACAAATTTTGCCATCCTTTTTCAATTGTAACAATTTGTAAAGCGTTATTCACCACAAAACAGCAAAATGTGCCACAAAATACGTACCTAGAGAGAGCGATGGGGGCTGTCAGTTGGACGATCAGGATCAAAAACCATGAAGATATATGTTCAGGAGTCATTCGAATATTAAATATCATGTTATTTTAGTTTTATTAATTCTTTCTTGTTACTTCACCCTCTTAAGGGAATCTTTTTCTTTTATTACTCCTTTCCCACTGTTATAAAACGTTTTGTGGGCTTCAATGGAGTAATCGTTCTCTTCTTCGAAGGCCAGTGGCCTGTATGATGGATAAATATTCGGATACAATCATTTTTGATCTTCTAGAAATACAGTTTTTGTTTTGCGCCAATCACAATTCARGAAGATGACATTCTTTGCTTCGACAAACCCGTGGCCATAGCAAACGTCAAGCCTCAAGAACTAATCAAGCACTTACYTAAATTAGCAATAGGTAGCCAATCAGAACCAGTGCTCACTGGGCTAGTTCTAATTAGTAGTCAAGGCAGTCCCAAACTCTATCTGGAAAAATTTTAACAATATGAAAGCTAAATCCGTCAACCAATCAATTGTTGATTTCCCATCGRTTTTCGTCAACTGAAATCTCAATTGCGATTTCTTGCGTTGTTAAAGGTGAAAATATAAGTAAAAAAGAAACATCCGCACATACAATAAAGTTTTTCATGGCAGTAAAATCGAGTGGAAAACTGAAATCTTGATTGTTATTTTCTCTTTAATGAATTTGATCCTGAACTAGTACTGTCCTGAAATTGATGTTTGTCAATAAACAATTGTGGCGCGGTTTAAATAAAGCGTTGCAAAAACAAACAACTTCCAATCATTCAGCTTGTTAGAATGTTTTTAAGTTCTGTGTATCACCAAAAATTGTGGTAAAGGAACAAAATAATATTTCTTGACTAATCAGGCTCAAGGAATTCCCGTAAAAACTCTTTTTCTACTCTCTTTCTTAGAAAAGGAGGTATCGTCTAAGTCTGCTCCCCCCATAAAACAAATAAAATCACAGCCACTCAAACTGATTTTAAAAACAGTTTGCCAGATTCGTGTTTTTGCCATTTATATCCAATATCTTAGTAAGAATGACACGAATAACATAAGCGCATTTTAGAAAGAAAATTCTGGTTGCYAAAGGTAAAATCGACAGCCTATTTTTCAAAAGATGTAATCTGTTCAGTTCTAATAATATTATCTGAAATCATTTAAAATYCACAATCTATTTGCAACACGCGAATTCAATACAATACTTTCTTATTACACATTCCTTGGCTTGTATTGTACGTTGTTTGAGTTATTTTTACGGACCAGGCTAGCCCGCTTCATATAATCAACTTAAGAGACTTACTGTAAGAGACGTTTAATGATTAAACGGAGAGAACACTTCGAAATTAGTGCACTTGCGTATGTAGGAAGGTTGCCTGATTTTTCAAAGTAATTTGACTCAACTGGCCAATCACAGCGAAGATGCATAGTACATTGTGAAATAATGGCAAATTAGTTAGAGGACTRTGTAGTAAATTTACCGAATAAGGACAAAATAACTAAAAATTTTAAGAACTAAATGTAACCATGTACCATGAAATATTGATGCAAGTAATACATAGCAAAATATCTCATAAGTTAAATATAATGTATAATAGTTAGTTTTTCAAATCGGCACTAAAATTATTGCGAAGTTGTGTTTTCGTAGTAATTAGCATCTGGCCAGTTCCCAAATATTTACGACCAGTGAGTCACGAATAATTTCAAAAGCTCGAATTAACATTTGGGACCTGAAATAATACGTTAATAAAATCTTAAAAAATCTGGTTAAAGTTTACCGAGACATTTTTTTTCTGCACTCGCAATATGGCGTTTATGGCGACTGCACTGGTGAATAAAATACAGCAGAGTCTAACCAAATATAGGTTATTATAGTAGTGCTGGAATCCCTAACCCCTCCCATAGCAATACACGAGTTGCTCGCATGATAATAGCATACATTTCACGAACTGTTCACGTGCTGACTTAAAATTCAGCATTTTCTTTGCGTTGCAAACATTTCCATGCAACAGACATACTTATTATTCATTCAAAATATACAGCTATTTCTTATGTTCTCGAGACCGAAATGCATTGTTGGTCGTTCTATCGCCGTTCTAAAAGACGTTTCGCGGTTTTAGAGAGTGAATATACAAGCTCCGCACAGTCAAGAACTTCAATGAAAAGAAATGAAGTTTAGAACTGTCATTTTGTAACGCAGCTAGCGTTGAGTTTAATATCGACAATGCATTGCGGTCTTGGATGCCCTATGTACATACTGTATTTGAAATAGCTCTTTACTCCCACTCATCTGTGATTTAGCCAAAGGCTACTAATCAATTTTCCATGTCTTGACATCAGCCTACAATTATTTTTACTGTTATTTATATTTAAAACATATACTTATTTTGTGATTAGCTGAAATCACCGTACAACAATATTCAAAACATATGAGCGTTCATAGAAGGCTACCAAAGCAAAGTATCGAAGGAAAACGTCGCACAAACTAGATGGTTTTAGTTTAGCGTTCACCTTGGTTGCGAGAAAATAATAAAACATTTGGGCGGAACAGATTTAATGTGAAAAGAGAAAGATTTCGACGATTAAAAAAACATGGTTTCTCAATCTTTGCAATAACTGTAATTACGATCAAACGGTCTTTTTCTTTTCAAACACTGTTAAGGAAAAACAGAAACGAAACATTTTATGGTAAAATTACTTGATCCAAGATTTCCTGTTTAAAGTTAATCAACCAATCAAACGATAAATCAATAAGGAAAAACAGAAACGAAACATTTTATGGTAAAATTACTTGAAATCAATCTTTCTTCTTATTCGTAGTTTTGACACATGAAATTTTCTAAATATGCTGTTTATAGAACTCGAGTTTGAGTTCTATAGAAAACTTCTAGAACTCATTTATGATGCATTATCTCTCATTCCAAGGGAACTTGTTTCATTGTTAACATGATTGAGCTTGTACATCATGATAAAATACTGATGTTTTATTCATCAGTTCTATATCAGATAAAAAAAATTCATCAGCACTTGATCACAACCCAAAAATTGTAAAAGTCTCAATATCACATTATAAATCATTGACCTTTGCTAGATTGTAAATCAGTTCATATCTGTTGTCAGACTAGTTGTTCTTCCATGTGGGATAGAATATTTTGAATTGTTGTGCAATGCACATGCTCATTGGAAATTTGATATGCATTTTTACTATTTCATATTTTTCTGTACACTACATGAGTTAGTTTTATTTTTGGATCAGTTTTTTATTAATTGTATAAAAGAAATACTCGATTCCTTGAAAGCATCCCAAGTTTTTGCATCGAGTATTGAGTGAACATCCTGGATGGGATTTTGTAACCTTGTCTAACAAATCCATCCGAGATTCAGGACCTTCATCTGAAACCTGCACAATAGTCCCACCATTTCGTAAAACCCTGAGATTTTCAGTCACTGTTTTAATGAATTCCTCCTCTCCATTTTCAGCTCGCAAAATAGCATCAGAAGTTCCTTTGTCAATCAAAAGATGGAATTGTTCTTTGTTGAAGGGAAGGGAACGAGCATCTGCAACTTGGAAAGATACTAGTTYTCCTGATTTACACTGTGCAAATATTCTCCTTTCTGTTGTCAGTTTCTCAAGGCGTGAATTCATGATTCGAATAGCCTCCTTGGAGAAATCAACACAATGAATAATACACCTACCTTGAAGATGAGTAAATATTTGCAAACTTAAATTAGATGTACCACAGCCAATTTCAAGAATCCTGGGTATTTCCTTTGAATCTTCTTTAAGGACATTATTGAGATGTTCTTTAAGATCTTCATAGCCTAGAAACCACTCAAAATTCTTGTTATTTAACTGTACATAAAACTTCTCCCAATATGATCTTCTAGATAGGTCTATACTGTTGGTAGAGCTTAAATGTCTGCTACTCAAGAGCTTAATATCTGCTGATAAGAAGGAAAAAATCTACTTTATTTAGAATTTATATTGTAAATTTTTAAAACGTTTTTTTAACAACGTTATCTGATTGTTTTGTTTAACGTTTTTTTATAGTATAAATTTCTAGTTGTTGTATGTTAATGYATCTGAGAAAAAAGGTTAGTTGTACCAGAACAAGCACTACCAGAACACTCTCCATTTTCGATGGTTTAATACGTGTTACCTTGGAAATGATGGCCTAAACAAATCCTCGAATACCATCTGTAAAGAGATATAAAATGCATCATTCCKACTTTCATAAAACGCRCCGTGAAATATCAACAAAGCTCTGCAAGAGATCTTCAATTATAAATTTTGTTTTGAACTTATGAAACTTTGGCGGGAAGATTTGACCAGCGGCATCACCTACGGTCACAGGAACCCCACAACTTAGTACATCGTTCAACGATTTATACAAGAATTCTCCATTATTTTTAATATTTTTTTAAATCTTAGAGTGATACAAAATTTGTAAACTTTATCTAATTCTGAGTTTAGCTTTTACGTGCTTATACGTGCTTATACGTGCAAAACTGCATGCAGGCTTCGGTCGCCCTGTGCAAAATGCAAACGCGATAACCTGGTAACAGCAAATTATTTTTCGACGTGTCTGTCCTACTGCATGAAAGTAATCTCAATTTTGTACAGACTTTTTACTCGAAACATGGCCTGGAAATCACACGGCAAGAGCCACGAGGACCTCATTAACCAGCTCAGATGTATGAAGTATTACTTCTGCCTGTAACTAAGTATGTTTTCTGTAATATAATGCAGCTTTTGTTTCTATAGCAAATGGTGTCCTCAAGAGCGACAGGGTTGAAGAAGCCCTGAAGAGGGTCGATAGGAAAAACTACACTCGATTAAATCCATTCATGGATTCTCCACAGCCGATAGGTAATGATCAGTAGATCATGGTATGTTTTTGAGTTTAAATGTTTTCCTATATGTGCAATAACAAAAATCAATCCAACTTGTTTAAAGCTTTCATAAAAAAAAGTCTTGTATTTTGTAATCTTTTGCTGGTTGTTTAATAGGTTTCCAGGCCACCATAAGTGCTCCGCATATGGTTAGTAGTACGTAATCTCATAAAGAATATAGCTCTGTAGATATTATATTCTGAATAAGAATTTCTGTTGTGGTTTGTCCCGGATGAATTTTTTTTTTCTAAAATAGAAAAACTATAACTTAAAGTGTATATATAAGTTACTTATGTAAGCTTTTAATCTTACATAATAAAAACTTAATACTATATTAGCACATGTTATATAAGTTACTTTTATCATTTGTTCTCTGTTAATTGTATTGTGAAATTGTTAAGCAATGTTAATATCAGAGAGAGTACCAATATGATGATTTGTTCAGACTATGCTACCAAAGACCCACACAACATGACAAATTGTTAGATGATACCAAAGTCCAGCTACATATAAACGTTGTTGCATATCAAAACATGAAAAATATTTGTTAGTTGGTAGCAAATAGCTTTGAATACATAAGAGTTATTCAGACACAATCTTATATTTTAATATCTAGCACTGTTACGCACTTCAAATCCTTGAGGATCACTTAAAAGAGGGATCTACAGCTCTTGATGTGGGTAGCGGCAGTGGATACCTGACAGCTGCCATGGCATACATGGTGAGTTAAATGTAATACACCTTTTTGAGTGGTATTAATTACTCCTTGTTTTTTTTTATAAGAAGAGAGAAAAATAAGAGAGCTTTCCTTTCTGCAATGGGTCAATGCAATATAGCTTTACAATTGTTGTCTTTGTGGTCTTTTCTGTAGGTTGGTCCATCAGGTAAAGTTTATGGRGTAGACCACATGGAGCAGTTAGTCAATGAAGCAACAGCTAACATCAAAAAGGGGAACAGTGAGCTTTTAGAAAGTAAAAGAGTTGAAATTATCAGTGAGTAAATTTGTTATTGRATTAATACATTTTGTTTTTGATAAGAATGATCAATCCTATCTTTAATTTAATTGCAACACTCTCGTAAGTGCATTGTACAAATACAAAAATGATACTGCAAATTAGTGAACAAAGGACTGTGTTTATTATATATTGACTGTTGATTATTTTGATGACTTCAGAGGGTGATGGTCGCAAAGGATATYCCCAAGGTGCTCCATTTGATGCAATACATGTTGGTGCAGCAGCTCCTGTGCTTCCAGAAGACGTAAGAATCTTTATTAAGATCACATGATTATCCTGCATTATACTCAAGTGGTTTCTGGCAAGAGATTTTATAAGTGTGCTTTAAAACATTTAGCCACCAGGMCAAATCCTCATACAGATCTTCTGCTGTATATGAAAGTTAGGGTCAGGGTGTCCAAAGCTCGATTAGCGCTAATCCTGGGTCAACTCAAAAATCCAAGCTAATTGTGGATTAACCATAATCAGGTTTGAACAAATTGGCCCAGAAACCACTGCTCTGTGTTCAGCAGTACCAAAAACACTTGTCAACAATGTCTTAGTTTTAATCTCTWGTCACTGAACCATATAAGGTTTAAAGCTGTTCAAGAAAAAAAAGCCATTGCTATCAGTAACTATGACAAGTTTTCAATTTGTAATGACAAGCATTCGGTTATTTATTCTATTTTATTTTTAAAGCTTGTAGAACAATTAAAACCAGGGGGGAGACTTATCATYCCCGTCGGACCTGAAGGTCGCAACCAGACTTTGGAACAATATGACAAAACAGCTGAAGGAGAAGTGGTTAAAAAGAAACTYATGGGAGTAATTTATGTCCCGTTATGTGACAAAAATGAACAATGGCCAGGTTTGTTATTATTGTAATTGATATAATGTATTATAATGGTGGTATTTTAGCAGGGCTCTATGATGGATCCAAAATGCTGAAAAGTGGGATCCCTGACTCAAGGGAAAATATTAAATGGATAGATTTAGGGGCTCCAGGAAATGAAATTTTTTGAAGATGATCATTACTGCTGTAGTTTGTTTTTCAGAATGAATCCCATTCAGATTTCATTTTTCCTTTCATTTATTAATTTATCATACCTTCTATTTTCTATATTTTTTAGCCCTTTAGGAGGGGTTGGCTAGCCATCCTAATYACSCYCCTGTGCCTGCCATTGGACCTTCATAGAYTTAATGTTGTATTGCMAACTATGTGWTATTGAATGGTTTCTTTAAGAAAAGAAAACGGTTTTTATATTCAAAAACCAAAGATGTCACATATTATGATTGACCATTGAAATGTTTTTTGAGTTTCCAACTTTTCAAGTATTTAATTTAGTACTGTAGCTGTACAATCAGGCATGCATTGTTGCTATGAAATAAAAGCTATTATGTTCCCTCTTTCTTTGTTACAGCAACTAAAACATACATTTTTTCTTCTAGGTATATTCAAGACTTAAAGTACTGTGGAATCATATAAAAATCACATAATAACTTCATAAATCAAAATGATTATGTACAATGGGTAGGAGTGTTTTACAGTTTTAGTTGCAACCACAATTGACTTGCAAAAAGAAATGAATCTAATATTTTGATCTAGCATACTTTAAAATAATGAAATGAAAAAATCCAAATTGGTGATTAGTTAATGATTTTAGTTCTGTAGGCTTTTTCAAAAATGTGAGCATTTAGTCTTTATGATCAGCGGTTTTCTACCGTTATGACGTCATGTGGATTTGGTGAAGTGCATCATGACAAGTTACAAGAAGACTGCTGTTTTGTAACAAYTATGAATAATGTCAAAGTATCTTTGAAAAAGGTCGTTCATTTTCGAGGATATTTTAGGAACAATACTTGACGTTAGTTTTAGTAACGCTTATTTTTTGGCTGAGAGGAAGGTCGCTTCAGATGATATTAATTTCAATCCCATAATGCATTGCATTGGAAAAGTTTGTTAGTTTTTGCAACTGAGGCGAAATCTGTTGTATGTGGTTGCAATTGACTTAGACAGGGGAGTGTTTCAAAGTTTACAGCCCCAAAAAACTCTTGAAAGAAAAGAGTTAATATTACAGCATTTCGTTTAAAAACGAAATAAATAGATGCTCTTTAGAAAAACGAAAAAAAAACAGTTATTAAGTAGAGAAAGACATACTTTTTATTATATTTTTATTTTGTTTTTTGTTGTTTTTTTTCTGATAGAGATACAGTGTATTTAGAAATAAGGTCGAGTAACTTAAACAAACTGGATGATATTGTTACTAACAAATGTAAGCAGCCGTTGACTTTTCTTTGAAATATCTGTAGATCAGCTAATATATAGAATCAGTGAAGTAGTTGTATGATTATACATGTTGATTATTGAAATATTATTTTTCTTTATTTTCTGTTTTCCGTTTCTATAATTTATCTGATAAAATAGTACGTAGAAAATGCCTATTTAGAGTGTAAAACACGATATATGATTTGAAGTGATTGCAGTGTTTTCTTTTTTCCTTTCCTCCCTGCTGCCATATTCCCTTATTTTCCTTTTCGTTCATTGTTTTATTCATTGCTTTTCCCATTTTCACTTTCTCTAATCAATGAATGCTTCTTTTTGTCTATCKTTTGTTCCGTCTTTCCTTTTCTCTTCTATATCTCTTCCTTAGCTGCTTCCATCCTTTCTACAAGTGATGCTGTCGGAAGTGCCTTTTAACCAGTTTAGTATCCAGCTGGGGTTGCACCCCTCCACCCCCTTCTGTTCAATAACGCGCGCGTATTATAAATCCGCGGCAAAGCGAATATGATTACCAATTGAAGGGACATTTAAGGTGCAACTTCCTTGTAAAAAGTAGTTGCTGGTAAAACTAGACAATACATGTCCGAAAAATAATGTGGGTATCGATTCAAAATGTATTGAACTGTAAACAAACTTGTCTTCAGAGTGAATATCGTGRGCCAATTGATTACCAACAATGCCATTCGGTCGTGCTCTATTCTCTCCATAACACGTAGTGCGCCTTATAAAGTGAATGTGTCCAGAATCTTGACATTGCAACTGTCATGGCAACTGTCCACCAGTAAACACCAGGAAACACCGGTATGTTGATTCACAAAACCTGTTGAACCTGCACATGCGTAATTCAAATTAAAAACTTGATACAACTGCTGTTAAAGTATTTTAGAACAGAAGCTATGATAGGTCATTTTGCTTACAAGTAACCAATCATTGTACGTTTCCTTGAAAAAATATTCAAAGCACTGAGCTATTGATTGTGATTTTGATCTCTTGGTTTGATCTCAATTTTTGGACTGTGATATTTGGTTTTTAGTGATAAAGATTTAAGTGATAATCGGTTTTTTCCTCATGTAATTTTTAGGAAAAAAGGATATTTTTAACAAGAGTTTTGAAACAAGGTTTGTTATCCAAATTGAAACAACTCTACCACCAACGATGACCAACGTCGGARTTTTACATCTACTTCTGATTTTTGTGGTAAGTGGTTTCCTCCAGTCTCAAAGTCACAGACTCTTGAAAGACTGTTTTATTCAATCTTATCACTATATTACATTTTTTATGTTGACAAAGACAGTTATATTTGTAATTGAAGCAGTGTAGAGAAGGGAGTATTTAGGAATACATTTTTGCATTTGTTAGAATGCAAGTCATACGTTACACATACCATTGTCTTAGTTTTATATGAAAGAAAATCTATCTATTTCTGGTGCAGCAATGATTAATTTGTTGTATTCTAAAAATGCGTATTTTATCCGTTTCAAATTCAAGTCACACACAGCCATGACCACGTGAGTTATTATTTTCTGATACCGATGATTTTTCATYCYTATCCATCAAAATTCTTCAAATCCAGTGAATGGAGCTATGCAAACTGTGTGCTCAAAATCATATTCTTTGTTGGAAGTGTATCATAATTATATAGAAATGTTCAACTTGTTGTCTACTGTATGTTAATGGTAAGATGTTTAAGTGTTTGCCATAATAAACCACAAACAAAAACTGATATACTTKTTGTCACTACAATGAAAATGCTGGTAAAGTATCTAAGACGCATCAAAGTCRGATCCAGCTGGTGGGCGCAGGRKKTGCGCTCCCCCTCCTKAAACCCTATATCATTTAATATTTTGTGTCTTCCTGCTGATGATTTTTGTGGAGTGCAGTCCCTATTTAGAACCCTGCACCCCTTCCTGAAGAAAATTCTGGATCCGCCCGTGCGCATGCAATGTAATTACGTATACTGTGATTCAATTGTATGCATTTGAATGTCGCCACAGGTTGCACTTTCTGGACTCAAGCGTCTACATGGAGTTTCAGGTATGTGATTGTCCATTCGGGTTATGTGTTGCAAGGCCGAAGTTCATTATATAAGGCTGATTTGGCTTCACGAGTTCGGTGTGTAGCTCACCATATCGTTGGCTTCATGCTACTGGCAATACTGAGAATAAACAAGTGGAAAATATTTGAACGATTTATGTTATTTTGCACAGCTTTATGCCATTCAATACGGTACTRATAATTATTATAATCAAGTAATTTTCTTGATTTCTCCACAGCTGACTACGCACCAGAAAAAATGGATCTCGACAACGAAGCACGACTAGAAATGAACCTGGAGCCTCGTTCTTCAATCCCTCATCCGAAGAACAGTGCACCTGTTACACCTGCAGCTACGCTATACGTACCATCTTCGGAGGATGGCAGTGGCATTGAAGGCTCTAATAATCACGAAGAGGAGAAAAAAGATCAAGACTCAAACAATRAAGAAATCAAACAGACCACATCAACAAACAACACAGCAGCACCAGAAAATACACCAGCCATCACTTCACCTTTCACAAATGCTCCAAATGCGTCGTCGTCAAACGGAAACTCGACATCATATTTTCCATTTCAACCAGCCAATCAGAATACATCTTCAACGGAGGTTTCTCCACCTGAAAGTGTTCAAAATCCTGCAGATGACTTGAACACGTCGAATGAAAACGACAAAGCGAAGCAGCAAACCAATGTGAGTAATCTCACTACAAACACTGAAGAAACAGTATCGGTGGAAAGCATCAGTTTTGGAACTCCTTCTAAACCACTGACACCAATCAAATCAGAGCAAGAGGTGGAGGATAAAGCAGACGACACGAAAACTGCAAAACATCATAAAAACAAACCAACAGCTGCAGCATTTAATAGACCAGCCACTACACCAACACCCATTACTACAGCTGCTAAACATCAAGATAAAAACAAAGATAATAAATCTAAGATGGAGGATGATAACGAAAGCGATTTGGATTTGGAAAGCGGTAGTGGTACCGATGATCAAGACAGACCCGAGGGCCCAAATTATACTCCATCTGCCCAGCAAGGTAAACAAAGTGCATCGACCAATGTCAGTCGTGATAGCGATAACGATGACAACCGGGATAGTAATGATGATTCCAGTCATGATAGTAAGAACGCTGCCAGTTTCGATAGCAACAACGATGCCAGTCGCGATAGCAACAACGATACCAGTCGCTATGGTAACAACGATGCCAGTCGCAATAGCAACAACGATGCCAGTCGCGATAGCAACAACGATGCCAGTCACGATAGCAACAACGATGCCAGTCACGATAGCAACGATGCCAGTCGCGATAGCAACAACGATGCCAGTCACGATAGCAACAACGATGCCAGTCACGATAGCAACAACGATGTCAGTCACGATAGCAGCAACGATGTCAATCAAAATAGCAACAACGATGACAGCCGCGTTAACGATGCCAACGATAGCAATGACGACGACGACTATGAAGAAGCTGACGACGACCTCGAAGACGACTCTGGGTCCGGCCATGATGAGAATGAACCATTTCTACATGACAATCACACACTCACTTCTACAAGAGGAAGCTTAAAAGTAGAAGCCAAGAAGAGGCCTATTGTGGAAGAAAACGCAATTGCAGACAAAGATACTGAAAAAGCTGTTGAAGACGCAATTGATCAAGAAACAGGTACAAATTGTTTCAATCTACTGCGCAGGCTTGGCTTCCTCTTCTTTTACATTAGTGAGGAAAGCCTTCTCCCGCAGTAAGCCCACGTCTCTAAGTGCTGACTATTTCTTTTCCGTGTGCTGTAGATTTTGTTGTTTACTGATATGACACTGTTGTTATACGTTGGATGCGATRTATGGTTGTTATGGTTACAGATGGAAGTAACTGTAATCAAAGCTTGTGATTAACATAGTAAAAGTTATATTGCTTTCTTATCAGTGTTGTGCAGGTATATTTTTGTGTCAACCAGTTTTTTATTGTTAATTTTTTTTAAGACTACGAGGACAATGACACARAGGAAGACAAAAACAATATTGAAGATGAAAGAAAAGAGAATCAAGTGGACAAACCAAAACCCACACAACTTTCACAGAAATTTGAAAAAGAAGATGGAAATCTGAATGAAACAGGAACAAATAAATCGACTGAAACAAAGCCAAAAGCAGATATAACACTTAGCAAAACTCATCTTTCCAAAAAAGAGCACAATAAAGTTAAAGGTGTGAAGAAAACGTCAACAGAAAAGGACTCAAAAAAAGTRAAACATGTCAAACCTGAAAAGAAAGAAAAGAACGGTGCAGAACAACATCGCATTTTCAATCAGCCACAGCCTAAGGCTTATAAACCCCTATTTAAGTACATCAAGAAGGCAAATCTTCATTTAAAGACTCCTAAAGCCAGTAAGTAAATAGCTTATAGTACTAATAAACTCCATACACTGCGCTGTGCAACAAGACCAMAGCTATCYGGCAGCTATTGTAACAAAAAATTGGATGCACGCATAAGAGACTCGTGAAGCTTATCGAGGAATTATTCGTTATTCAATATCGACGGCCGCTATGACACAATGTGCGCTCATTTAGAATAAGCAGCGTGAAGCGACGCCATTTTCTCGACAAAGCATTATGCGAAATAAAGTATTCGAACTTTTTTGGTCAGCTGAAATCCGGTTTTGTTTTTTCTAGTCGAAAACGCGAGTTCTGTCATTTCTGTGAAGAAAAGATAAAAACGGATTTTAGGGGCTGCTTTAATGGACATAAGAATGTGCAAGGACTATAATCTCCCATCATGCTTTGCTGTAATAAAATGGTGTCAAGGCACATTATGTGCAATATTCTATTACGCTATTGTCCATAAAAAAGATCTAACAATTGCAACTATTCTATCCATGATCGTTTTAGAAAAGACTCCTGAACCAACTTGCAACTCAGAAGATATAAAAACTGGGTTTTCCTTAAAAGGAGGAACACGCGCTGGTCACGTGGATGATTTAGGCGAGTCGGCGGRTATAAGGGAATGCATCAAGCGATGTTGTCGTAAGGATGTATGTGATGTAGCTCTATTGTTGGACGGTCGATGCTTTGGGGTGTCTTGCTTCACCAAGGATCTGTGCCAGCCAGTCCCTATCCCACATCCACACTACGTAGCTTCACAGATTGCGTTCTTGAAACAAGCTCAAAGGAGAACTGAGGTCGGACGATTAAGGCCAGGTAGACATCATTGCATATTACGAGTGGGTCATTCAGTAAACATGCGAGAAAAATACAAGTAAAYAAAATAAAGCAAACAAAAAAACAAAGCAAATCAAAACAAAGCAAAGCATATCATAGCATACATAACATATAACATAATAAAACAAGACGGGCAATTCTAGAATCTGTCTGACTATACCATATAACGCATAAATCAGTGATACAKACGTAAGAAGTATTTTTTCAATTATATTTCTTGCTGAGCGATACGTTTCATTTTTCAGACGTTTTGGTTAACGCAAAGGCACACGCGCGTATTTTATTACATTCGTTTTGTAGTACGTATACACTTTGTCCAATGCTCATGGTTTATATCTATTCTAGAGTTGGATTGTAAATATGGCGAACTGACTATACGCAATAAGCACCGATGGACTGGTGAGCTTTGTGGCGGGGTTTTAGCCTGTAAGAATGGTATTATCCATCTAGAAAAATGCCCCGGTATTCCACCGAAACCTAAAAACTGCGCTAATCCAAAGCTTTACATTAAACAAAGACCTGGTCGATGCTGTATTAAAAAATGGCTTTGTAAAGGTAWGTGCAAAGGAGATTCAATTTAAGGCTACTTTTAGTATGGCCTATTTTTTAGTGTTCAAAATACGGCAGTATATGGCAGAAAAGCAAAGCATTGTATTTGTGAGGACCGTGAGCGCGCGCGACTATGAGAGAGTTGAAAAAGTGTCAAAATTTCAMTGGCGTTAAGCGCTGCTATAATACCGAATCAAGCACAGATTGTTACTGAAAAGAAGGAATATGGACTCCAAAATTTACTTCAAAACAAAGTTTCTTCATTTCTGTGTATTTTAGCAAGTACTGGTTGTTTTTTAGTAAGCAATTTCGTCGTAAAACGGCCTATGTATTATTTTTTAACGAAGAGCATCTATCTATGGCGGGTCAATTTCCAGATTTCCTAATAATAAGGATCATGCGCATGCTCAATTCAATAATTCATTCCAATGATAATTCTAGACAAGTCGTGTATGTATGGAGTTCGTAAAATCCCACATGGAGTCAGCTTGAGCGATCCACTATGCACCGGCATCATCTCATGTTACAATGGACACCTGAAAACAACACAATGTCCAGGAATACCAACGAAGCCAGAAAACTGTGCAAATCCTCGATTAAAGATAACGTCAATACCTGGAAAGTGTTGCCGAAGGAAATGGGTGTGTCAGGGTAGGTTATCTCAGGAATAGATTGAACCGTAAAACAAAACATGATTTTCAAAGTGTGATAGTCAAATAGACGAAAAAAAACACACTTCCATTAGAGCTTACTAAGGTCTATTAGAAAAATATCTATTTCACGGGTTTTATGACCTCACTCTCTAACAAAAATTGCCTTTAACTTTTAACGTATGACTGGCTCTCTCCACTGATGATAGCCACGTACCAAAGAGCAATTGTTTTGAATATGTGTATGTAATTGTTTACTAAACAATTTGAAGATAGCATGCATTCTATTTGCTTATTTAGATAAAGGATGTACATATAACAAGCTAAAAGTTGACCACGGAGAACGCTTGACAGACGCGTCATGTGCTGTCGTTATGGAGTGTAATAATGGTTTCTTGAACTTCAAGCAATGTCCAAGCACTCCCGCTATCCCACATGGTTGCATCAATCCTAAACTAAAAGTGAAAAGAGTTCTAGGAGAATGCTGTCACATGAAATGGGCATGCGCACCAGAAATATAGSAACWATGGGAATGGACTAAAAATTAGACCTTGCCTCAAGACGAGTGGACAATCACGCAAAAGCCAGGCTGAAGGTCTATTTGTTCTTAATATAAACATCATAATGGTCCAACACTGAAAAAGATGGAAACAATTTAATTTTGTCTAAAATAGTTCGTATCAGTTAGATGATCCGCCATTTTGGTTTTGCCTTTTTTCATCTAGTGGAMCTCTATGAGTGTTGGACAATTTAAATGTTTATACAAAAACCTTTTGTATGTATCGTGTGTACGTTTAAAGAAAAATATTCCAGGAACTTAACAGGAAATAGCCTMGCTTTTTAACAAGGGTAAGCTGGTGATAGGCCATATTAGGCACGTAACGCAAATGAAACATTTTGAACCGCTGACTTGCAATAATTGTACTATTTTGATTAAAATCACTAATGAAAGGTCTTTTTTCAAAAATGGCCGCCACTAATTAGAATAATTTTTATTTTTCGTACCTATAGCTTCAAAATTCAGTTGGTTCCATTGAAAATCCATAAAGAGATAAAGTTTTTAATGTGCAGGAATTGTATGGTTGCGGAAGTATGGCTTATGCCACTTTRTGCCTAACAGTTATCAGTAAATTTTTCAGGTTTAAAAAAATTATATATCAAATTTTAATTGGAACATACAAGTAYTTATAACATTTCTGAGAGAAGGATATTGTTTAGTACTTTAGCGGTTATTATGCCTTTTACAAATATGCAAATAATCGGMCGCCATCTTGAAAAAGGAGTATTGCGATTTGTTCCAACAGTACAGGTTACGTCACACTTACAAGATGATTATCTGTACATTGTTGAGAAAGGGGCCAAGGAAAATATCATCAAAAAGACAATTTGAATAAAAAATATCAATAAAATATTTTGTATATCCGTTTTTTCGGTACAATTAAATGTAAAAATTATAAAAATAATAATAAATAGATAATAAACATAAATGTAAAATAAAGTGAAATTAAAAGTATGCACAACCTTTACCAYTTCTTTTTCCAGAACAGTTCGGCCACCACCATCTTCACATGCYATTCCGCACTTTGTAAAATCATTCATTCACAGGTATCAATGCTAGACCCGTCTTCCTTCGGCTCAAAGACATAAACTAGATAATATAAAGTCACTGCGCAAAAGCTTTTATTAGAACATGCAATCTGTGGGTGAAAGCCAAGAAATATAACTATTACAATTCTCWAATATTATCTATGCATTGCACTAGAGAATGGCACTCGACCCGTGTAAGTTGTGTCTTTAGTTTTGAAGTTTTTTGGAGGTATTGTGGTATTTGTATGTCATGTACCGCGAAATTCTATTTAATGGGTTTAACCATTAGGCCGCCATCTTGAATAGTATCATATTGCTCCTGGGTTCTCGAGACTCAATTCCTTGAGAGCTTATAATGGCAAGATTTTTATGTCCCTGCTTTTTTTCGCAGTAAAAACGTCCACCCCGTTTACACGGCCACTTTTCGTTCCTGGCCGGATTGGCGGGGTTCCACTGCACTATCAAACATGTTTTCATTGACATGATTGAATCAATATCTAATTGGCAAATATGGAGCTGATGGAGAGGTTGTAGAATGAATAAYAATGATATCAGAGAAAGCAATTTCTCTATTCAAGATGGCGGTGCCGATCCAAGGACATACACTGCATTGATGCACTGTCCAATAACTCACTTGTAAATTTTTATTTTTTCATTAAAAAGTTGCGATAAGAATTTGCCTCAAATCCTCGAGTTCGAGTTCGAGAGCCCATAAAAGGCGTTCCGCAGTTCACGATGTACTGTCGTAAATAAATTTAGTGAGCCCTTCGCGCTAAAAGCATARAAGSCCGAGAGCCCGTCAGCTCCATATGAATTGATCATTGYGGAAAAAAATCTAGAAATGTTAGATAGATATATTCATTCCGTTTTGGYCAATGGTTTACGTGTATTTAAGGCAAAAAAATAAGATTTCAAGATCTAAAAAAACGATTCAAAAAGTTTCAGTCATTCGTCTACTTGAAGCTAATAAATCAGTGAATTGAAATGAGATCCCGTGGAGCAAATGCAGGGTTCTATAGTATTGCCCGCTGATACATCCTCCGGTATTTGACCCTCGAGTATCGAGTATCGGGGATCGTGATCTCAATTCACCGACACATTACTATGACAGCTAAATATGACATCTAATATAGATTAATRCAATTAATAGACTACTATTCTGGATGTACAAATACCACAAAATCACTTTGTAATATATATTATTAGTATCCCTAAAAAGCTTTAATTTAAAGTCAATTCGAGGTGAATTTTAYCTACGATCTTAAAAGCCTGAGCRAAATCTTTCTGCAATGAGATCAYCATAAAACGTCGGCTCTTACAACAGCCGATAAAATTTAGTATAAAATATAATTGGCAGAGGTCAGTTTTTGCTAGATATACTGAAATAATTTCAAGAATAGGARKTTTTCTSTTGCCGTGATTTGTGTTTGATAGAAATGATACATTAAGTAGATTACACGGCCATCAGTTTCGATGTAAACAACAACAGGTGAAATAGAAGTCAATGGTAAAAACAATCAACTTGTTGACAATTGTGACTGGTGAACAAGCATAATCTGGCAACCTTCGCCAACATGGTCCATAACTCTTTGTTTTAAATCACACACCTGTTGCTTCAGTGCATTCGCCACAGCATTAAGCTCAATATTTCTTTCTTTTAAGTCCTTAACTCGGTTTTCTAGGCGCGCTTCTCTCTCGAGTTTGCGCTTTCTACATTTTGACGATGCAACACGGTTTCTCTGCTTTTTTCTTTCTCGTTTAACAACCTCCTGTATTTCGAGATCAATCGGCTGTARTACTCCCGGATCAGTCATTATCTGAGCCTGTGGTTGCTCTATTTTAAATGTAGGCTGAAGGTCTTGTTTTTGCTGCTGGTTAAGCATATTACCGAACTGCGCAAAAGTACGAAAAGCATTTCCATCGTGGTTATATTGATCTTGATAAGGGATATTATCCGCAGGGTATGAAAAAACGTTAGCTGGGTACCCATTGCCTACTGTTTGGGTGTACGGATTAAACATGGCCCCTCCTCTTGAATTTGAGTATAGATTACTCGTAGAAGGAAAAAATTCAGTTGGTTCATTCCTTGTTGCATTGCTATTTGCAAAAACAAGCTGTTCCGTAGTAGTTCTAATAACTGGCGTTGTATTCAGAATTGTGCCTCCRTTATGTACCGTATGTTGTCCTAAGAATGGGTCATTAATATCGGCTGCATTGTCAGCAAGATCAATCAAACTTTCTCCAGTGGATTGCTTATCGTGTAAATCTTGAAGCGTTTCTGTGAATCCGCGTGCATAACTTTCATTTGTATTACCAATCGAAGCGTTCGATGTAGTGTTGTAAAACGAACATGGCGTAGAACTTGTTGTCACCGAACCTTGCAAAGACATAATCATTTTCTCAAGTTCTGGAGAACCAAGTTTGAGAATTCCAAAATCTGGCGAGCGTAGCTCGGCCGGAGTAGCATTTTTCCTGAGCCCTTCGTTAAACTTAGGCTCTGTAGCTACGGGATGGAGATTTAACTGTAGTTCGTTTTTATCGTAAAGATAATGTGGTAGCAGGTGTGAGGAAATCCCCTCGTCCTGGTAAAACGTTGCTTCTTGTGGCTCTTCCATGCTTACCTACTAACTACTACTTCTACAGAAATCCTTGGTCTGCTACATTGTACGTTTTGTGCCTTCCTCCACCCAACCATGTAATTGAAGGTTTGAAATGTCACCTTAAAAAAAAAATCCTTGATCAGCCAAGGATCAGGAAACCTTGCGAGGGTCCCTCGAGCATTTTGAAATATTTTAGTCTTGTATCATTCCATAGTTGACTGGTTACATCACTACCAAGGGATCTTACTGGTCAAGACTGGATCACCATGGCAATAGCAAATTGCCATTTTGATTGGGAGAAACGCTGATTGGGTTTCAATTGTTAACAAATTTCACCTGTCGCACGCTTCATAACGCAAAATGACCTCAATCACACCAAAGAGGAACCAACAGGTTGTTTCAGCTCTCGCCAAAACACCCCTAGGCACGTCCAACTGACAAAGCTGTTTGTAAACATTCCTTTACAAACAAGAAGCTGATATCACGCGAGGTGAAATCTCCACTCAAGAAATAAAGTTTGTTAAAAACTAAGAACTTGTATTTTGTAGTTGAACTGAGTTTGCTTTTTTAAGTGTCGAGTACTGGTGACATGGAGCAATGAAGATGGTAGTCCTTGAGAAACCTCTGAATCCTAGTGAACTGTTTTATACTGCCCTGCAAAAACCATGCATTAACGAGAACCCTAAACATTTATTCGGTTTCATTATAATTCAATTTGTATTTAATTTAATCTAATATTTCTACCCCCAGTAAGCATTGTTCAGCAGCAGACATTCAAATAAAATGCACCTGCTTACGACAAAGCCTCTAAATGCGAATTTTATGAATTTTTTTCTCGCCATCTTTTATTATGTTGATTTGTCCCAATATTGAGTCAAATGGAAATGGAAAAACATGTTGAAATGGCAAAAAGCAAAGGAAATACAAACAAAATTAAAAAGACAAAACAGCAGTCCAGTGCCTTGGTCTTCTRAGTCGCGCGTCAATACAAACACTAAGAATTCAGACATTATGAAATCTAATAAAGAACAAAGTAATTGCTTTAAGACTATAACTGGATTATAGCAAATCATTTGCCGCTATCTTGTTTTTATAGCCTGAAATTACTAGGATTATGACGTCTAGGTTTTGATGTAACAAGGTCTAGTCATAACATTATACGTGGATATTATAGTGCGTATCCTCCATGACCGACTACTGCATTACACTGGATACAACACAATAGAACATCAAAATAACGTCAAAATAACGTGAATCCAAATCAAGCAAATGTCACATCTTGATTCGTATTGGATGGTTATCCAATAAAAAAAAATCCGGTGTGCATTCAATCTGAATTAACGCAAAATTAGGAAATTTCGCTTGCTATCAAAAAGTAGCTACTCAAAAAGTAGAACAACGAGCACTCGGTTATACTCAAATGTCCTTTTATTAGTATACAGCTTACCTTAAAATTAAGTAGAACATTTTAAGATTCTGAACAMGTAGAAATAGATCTAGTAATAATTAAAACTTTAAATTATTTCTTACGGAAATATTGTTGTTGCAAAATCAATGAAAAATCTTTTGTCGATTGGTATTCTACTAAAAATTCGTTATATTGCAATTCATGTTTTGCGGATGTTGGAGTTCCTGTAGTGAATTTTACAGAATATATTCCACACATTTCAGTGCCGAGGCAATGTTTTTTTTTTCGTCTAAAAAAATCCCGTTGTTTCCACAAGCCAGTGATTTGATCTATCAAAAAGGTTCTCACATCGTTTTCTCGCGCAACCACTTATACAAATCTTTTATCTTAACATTCAAGAAAACATTTTTATTGAGTCAAAATCATTACATAGATTAAAAAGAAAAATGTAAAAACAAATTGATGTTTTTTGTTTCACTTTTCTGCATCAACAACGTACCAGCAACTAATGATACTTTCTTGACACGTGACAACACCTTATTTGCTAAACAAAAATGTCCGTCAATAATTATTCTGATGTCAGCCTACAAAATAARGGGAACTCCCAAGATTTCTTGAAATATGATTGGCTAAAACCGCTGATCATGTAGTTGTCTTGTTGTCAAAAGCAAMGAAGATCTATAACGGGATTGTACTACGCCCTTTCACGAAGTATTGCCCCGAGTGGTCTGATAAAACATCGCAACTTTGCTGAAACAAAAAGGCACTAGACGAAAAATGTGCGAGATGCCTGTCTCTTCGGAGTTAGAAAATTGTTTTCACGTCTTTTAATGAAAGGCTGGATTTGAAAAAAATTGTTTGACTGTTTCAACGATATTATTAATCCACTTCGTGGTATGTACTGCGATATAAATGATTCAATTCAATTTTCATACCAAGCAATCAAAAATAGTAGTTCATATACATGTATTTATTCTTACAGTGCGACTTATAAATGAAGTTTTCAGTGCGACATGACACGATCTCTTGTCTTATTCAGAGCGAGCTGAAGGTTTCAATGGCTAACTGACAAGCCAGATTACTTTCCCAAAGACCCGCGGCAAAGACCGAAGTCACACTGAGATGATGGATGCACTTACGYATGAACACTGTATGTGTACGACAAATCTGAGGCACAGTTTCAACACGCAACTGACGCAACTGCTGTTCTACCGATACGAAACGAGGAAACTTCACTTGACATTAAAACCAACGACTAACGTTAACGAGACACCACTTAACGAACAGATATGTATAACGGAGTATAGGGAGGGACGAATAGGGAGGGACGACATGTGATTGCTGCGCCTCGTGTACTACGTGTCTAGTGTTTGTCATATCAGTGTCCTGTGTGTCTAGTGTCTGTCATACTAGTGTACTGTGTGTCTAGTGTCTGTCATACTAGCGTACTGTGTGTCTAGTGTCTGTCATACTAGTGTACTGTGTGTCTAGTGTCTGCCATACTAGTGTCCTGTGTGTCTAGTGTCTGTCATACTAGTGTCCTGTGTGTCTAGTGTCTG